TTTAGTTTGGGAGATTGCCGATGGATGAACATTATTGTTTGGGTTTTGGAGGCATTGATTTTGATTTTCCACGTGTTGGCATAATCAGCAAAGGCGTCAATGCATCGTTGATGGGGTGTTTACAGCTGTGCGGATTTGCTAGCGCTAATGTACTAGCCAAATAACACGAATTTCAGTTGCTCCTGAAATCTCATGCTGGTAGACGCTGATGCCCTGTTTACATTATGCTGGTGAGCTTTTTTGCTAGCAGCTGGCTCATTAGCGCTAGTGAGAAAGGATAAGTGTAAACACCCCATGAAGCTTGTTTGTTATTTCACGAGACATCCTTCCCTTGACGGTTATGGCGGTATCATCAGCGAACAGGAAGAACACTCAACCGTTGCCCAAGGATTTCCAATACTGCTCGTACAGAGCTAGCGTTCCAAGTGACGATAGTTAACGGTTTAGACGCCATACTGAATGATAAATTTACCGAGCACTTGGGTCTGTTCGAGCTCATCCGCAGAGAAGAGATCGGGATTGGCGTTTTGTGCTGGTGGTTGTCTCCAGAATTCAGGGAGGATGGAGAGCTTTGTCGAGCTGAGGCACCAGACGTAACTTGACCACCCTGAACTCCGGAGTGTTTTCCTTTTTCCGTCCTGGTTGGTTTCTTGTGGACGCCTGCTTTCGGATCCGCTTGAAATCCTCGCGTTTGGGGTACTCTTTGTCGGACCCATGATAACCGCCACCACATCGACACCACACTCAGAGGTAACGTGGTTTTGTGTGCATTTGCCACACCGCGGCTTGATGTGACAGTTTCAGGTGCCGTGTCCAAAATTCAGGCAACGCTGGCACTGGGTGACGTCGTGACGGCCGCCACGGTATGGTTTTCATTCCACAATGATGGAGTTGATGAAGCGGATAGCCTTCAACGCATTCGTCGTCACTGTTCCCTTCTGTAAGTGTACCAGGAAAATGCAATTTTCGTGTTCTCGTCCCTTCGCGTAATCCCGTAGACGGCAGTTGGGACCAGTTTGTAGTGGTCCTTGATTTGATCCGAGATGAACTTTGGGTCGTAGCTCGGTCGGCCTCGGATGACCACCTTGAAGGGCTTCTCACCGGGAATATCGTGGTGAAGAATCCCGCCTTGGAATCCATCAGGTGATTTACGGCCAGGTTGTATTCCGCTCTCGTACGAAGCATCATCTTGGTACCGATTCCACTGAGTTTGTACCCGAATAGAAATTGTAATGTAGGAAACATCAGCAGACATCTTCAATACATTAAATTTTAACGTGTATTGCTGTACCCTTAGTGTATTCAGACTTCAATGTGACGTCCAAGTACATAAAAATACATTAGCCTCAAACGTTACATCAGAATCAAACGTCTTGACGATGTAAAATTTGACATCAGAATACATCCAATGACAACAGAACCAAACGTTACATTAGAATCAAACTTCATCACGATGTAATTTGTTGCACGCATAAAACATCAGAATACATCCAATGACAACAGAACCTAACGTTACATTAGAATCAAACTTCATCACGATGTAATTTGTTGCATGGATAAAACATCAGAATACATCCAATGACAACAGAACCTAACGTTACATAAGAATCAAACTTCATCACGATGTAATTTGTTGCACGCATAAAACATCAGAATACATCCAATGACAACAGAACCTAACGTTACATTAGAATCAAACTTCATCACGATGTAATTTGTTGCACGCATAAAACATCAGAATACATCCAATGACAACAGAACCTAACGTTACATAAGAATCAAACTTCATCACGATGTAATTTGTTGCATGGATAAAACATCAGAATACATCCAATGACAACAGAACCTAACGTTACATTAGAATCAAACTTCATCACGATGTAATTTGTTGCACGCATAAAACATCAGAATACATCCAATGACAACAGAACCTAACGTTACATAAGAATCAAACTTCATCACGATGTAATTTGTTGCATGGATAAAACATCAGAATACATCCAATGACAACAGAACCTAACGTTACATTAGAATCAAACTTCATCACGATGTAATTTGTTGCACGCATAAAACATCAGAATACATCCAATGACAACAGAACCTAACGTTACATAAGAATCAAACTTCATCACGATGTAATTTGTTGCACGCATAAAACATCAGAATACATCCAATGACAACAGAACCTAACGTTACATTAGAATCAAACTTCATCACGATGTAATTTGTTGCACGCATAAAACATCAGAATACATCCAATGACAACAGAACCTAACGTTACATAAGAATCAAACTTCATCACGATGTAATTTGTTGCATGGATAAAACATCAGAATACATCCAATGACAACAGAACCTAACGTTACATTAGAATCAAACTTCATCACGATGTAATTTGTTGCACGCATAAAACATCAGAATACATCCAATGACAACAGAACCTAACGTTACATTAGAATCAAAGTTCAAAGTATACTCAGCTTTGACGTCCATCGACGCGAAGCTAGCGATGAGCGTGTTGAGGGATGCATTTTTTTTACCACCAGCGGTGATAGCTTCACTTTTGTAGCACTCTGGCTGGAATGTTCGTCTTCATCGGCGACACCGAATTCACCGATGCCGCTGACGTTCGTCACGGTAACATCATCGCGGCTCGCACCATCGGACTGACGGTTCCTCCTCCTCCTCTTACTTCGCTTATTCGTAGCCGCTGGCTGGGCGTTTGTTCCATCGGTGGGTAGAGTGGCGAACCTATTTGAAATGGCACACCACCCACGCTTCCTTCACCGGGATCTTCAATTCGGTGCATCAGATCAGCATCAAAAGAAATTGAGTACGATCGACTCATCCGGTGAGTAAGCTGAAGTAAGCGTGTATGATATTTCATACATTGGGTGGAATCCATCCAGATCGGTCAAAACTGAACCTACCCAAAAATGGGTAAACTATAGAGCTTTTTGACGCTTAATCGGCGCACCACTACTGCACCATTTAAATCGAACGAGTGCAAGCAAGAGGGAAACAGATTAGTGGGAAAACCGAGGGGAAAACAAACCGTTCATTCATTCATGTGTGCTGGATAGAGAAAGACTATCAAACGTCAAAAAGGTCTATGTTGGGAGTAACAAGTTGACAAATGAATTGGCAAATCAAAGTTGCCACTCGTGGAGAATAGACGAACTATGAAAGTGATGATGGTTTCAAAATTTTCCACGGACAGGTATACGAGTGCAATCTTAAAATGCGTTTATTTTGAAAACTGAGCATTGAATTTAAATCTGGTTGTTATGCATTGATCTAGTTTAAAATATAACCGAACATCCTTTCTTTCGACTTGGAGAGGTGAAGAGGCAACATTGGTCTCATTTATAACAACGATGAATGAATTAATCATTCCCACAGGGCCTTGAACGAGCTAGAGTTGCGATCGGGAGTGCTGATAGGTATTTACTTTCGAGCAAGTTTTTATTGATTATTGAGTTACCCATATGATGAATTCTAGGATAGCTCAGATGACAAAGCAAGCGGCTGCTGATCGGAAGGTACATGGTTCGATTCCCATACAACGGCATGTATAAGTATTTAATAAATTTTCTAATATCTGTGTGGTGCGAGCCAGGTCAGCAATATTGAAAATACAATACACTTAAGAAACACACACACCCTTCCCTTGTCCCTGTCCTCTTATTTTCGGATTAATTTTCCCACGTTTGAATAATCGTTTAATAAATGTATAATAATGTCTAATTAAACGTTACTTCACATGAGAATCAAGCGTATACAGAGCACCACTGTTTTAAGGGAAGCAGTGATGTCTAATAAACGCTGAATAATCAAAAATTTTATCGTATAAACTCTGTTACAACTCATATAAGTCGAATAAAAGCTTCTCGACATACCTTATACAACACCAGTAGTTCAATGTTGTTGTTGAATAAATTCTCCAGATTCGTGTGAACAAAGCCTGAACAGAAGTTATTATTAAAAATAGTACAAGTACTATTAAGCATGCAGTTGAATAAAATGGCCAAGAAGTCGTTTCTTCAATAGACGATTGTTTGTTGGGAACTTTGATTTGCCAATAAAGTCGATCAAATTCATTTCAATGTTCTTCGTTCGTCAACTTGTCACTTCAAACACAGTTTACTCATTTTTGGGTAGGTTCAGTTTTGACCAATCTGGGTGGATTCTACCCAAATTTGGGTAGTTTTGAAATAGCGTGTATACGATATATATGTATGAAATATCATACACGCTTACTTCAGCTAACTCACCGGGTGAGTCAATCGTACTCAATTTCTTCTGATGCATTACGATTTCTTCTGAGTAATAAAAAATAACCATAAACGAACGATAACCCAAATCATTGAACTATTCCACAAATGGTTTGGATCATACCCAGAACACGTCGTTAAGCAAATTAACCATACAATTTTTATTAGGGGAGAAATGTCAAACTGAGTAAAAGCCACTCAGTCAGCCAAATCCGGGATTAGAAAAAATGCCAGCCGTATTGGAGCAAACGCTCTAAGAAACGGCGAAATTATTGTATAACATCGGCCGAAACGTATTAAGGTAAGTAGGAATTGCATGCGGAGACGGTTTTCAGTCGTCTTCAGCTCCATTTAAATGAATCTGGAGCAGGTAGTTTCCATTTTTTTTAAACAAATGAAAAAAAGATACTTCCCGGCTGAAAATATCCCAGAGCGGTTTCAACTAACTCTGCGCGAGAACGTCGTTTACGCAAAAGTGAGTTAAAGTGCGCCTACTCACTTTTGAGCGGAGTATCCACTTCCGCTGAATGGTCGACTCAATTTTGAGTTGTTGCGAGCTACCGTGTGTGTATCAAGGTATAAGTACATGGAAATTTTTTACGTGTATGTATAGTCGAATTCGCTGATGACGAATTTCGTTCAAATGGCTTTGGGCATAATTAGACAGTGCCGTAAAGCCGTGTTCTTGATCGATAAAGCAGATTTTCTGAACTTTTCGTCGTTTATTCATGCAATTATTCTCGTTTTTCTCCGCGGAGACGTTTTTCTGCGAGATTTCAACTTCAGTGGAAAAGGAATTTCTGTTCGAATTTTATATACGTTCCTGCCTTCAAGTCTGGCTTAGAAATACTATTAGCTGTTGCACTGGACTACTGAATTGTTCGAGTGAAAACATTGTGTAAGTACCTAAACCAAATTACAACATTATTTTACTTTTGTTTTGCTATTTGAGGTTAGGTTACCATGGTCAAAACCCGTCCATTCTCGTCGCTGCAACCTGCGCAGGAATCAACGGATGACGAAGAAGCCGGTTACGAAACAGACGAATACTTCGACGAACAGGGTCGTAAGGTGGTGGAAATCGATTACAGTAAAGTCGACTACGTTGGTCCAATCGTTCGGCCACCACGACCACCGAAGAAAAAGCGTCGTCAACGCAATGTAGCACTCGACGAGATCCGCTACACGATGGACGATATGACTCCCATCATTCGAGATCCTCGATGCAATTCCAATACCGATTTGGCTTGCTTTTGGCCGGTATATGTTGGTAATTTCAAGGACACTTCAGTTTCGCAATACTTTGCCTCGCGGGGATTATATGTCCGCTGGTGGTACCACAGGAAAGATGAATACTACAGAGAGTTTCAGTGCAAAGCACAAATCTTCGACATGTTGGTATACTTCGTATCGGAACGCGATGCGAAACTGGCCATCGAGCGTTGTCATCGGGATACTCACAGAGGATACACGCTGAACGTCTTTCCCGGAAGGGAACCGGTATACTTCAAGGAAGATCGAAGTGTGTATGCCGAAAAGATGAAAAGCGGACGAATTTTCAGTGAGCAATTTTTTGAAAAGCACGCCAAATTTATCTGCAAGGTGAAGGTCAATTGTGTCGTCAAGTTTGATATGAAACACGGAGCACTGGAATTCGAAAGGCCTGAGGATGTTCTCAAGGCACAGAAGAAGGAAAGAATGTGGAAGTATGCGCCAATTACATGGAAACTGCAGAAGCAGCGCTTCCTGGAGAACGACGTCCTCAACCAGATCGAAGCATTCCTGGTTGAAAATCCGGATACGCTTAAGGTCAAGCGGAACGACAAATACATGAAATTGCTCCTGAATGGCTTTCGTCCATTTATTGATGAAGGAAGGCAATACAGAGTGGTCCCGCTCAGACAGGGACCATCGAAGAAAACTCAGATGAAGCTTTTTCAGAAGAAAATGAAGAGAAAGTACGGAATGGATGCTAAATAATGGTAAAACGGCAGCTGGACTGACGGCTATGTGCCTTGTTGACGGTTATTGAACTTGGAAAGAACGATGTGTATTTTTTTTTGCTACCCAGATAATGTGGTAGTTTGACTTATTTTTAATTTTAAACTGAACTTTGTTTAATTGAACTGGAATAAATGTTACGGTGAATTCGGTATAACCTATTTGTAGATTGTTTTCTGTTATGAGCAGTGGCCTAGTGATTCTTCTTCGTATTTCAAGCCTATTGCGTACTCTCAACTTAGTGTTTTAGATGCACTTCCACAGTTATTAATTGAGAGCTTTCGAAGCCCGTACCATTTTTGCATTAATATAATTGTGTGGCAAGTATGTACAATCACATCAAATTCCAACCCGAAAAATTCCTAGACCGAACCGGGAATCGGCATGGTCTTGCTTTGTTACTGCGCCTGTACCCACTGAGCTAAGGGAGGGGGTATCAATGTTTCCGGTTTATTAAACTGAGTCTTTATAGGCATTCAGGGAACTTCTCAGAACTCAAGGGTAATTTGTAGAAGTTAAGACAACTTCATTTGATTTCAGAGAACGTCATACAAGTTTGGTAAACATCGGAGAAACTTGGGGAAGCTCGTAAAAGTTCTGAAGTTTTACACTCAAAGAACTTCGAAGATCATCATGAAACTTTTAAGAACTCAAGGAAGCATCGAAGAAGTTCAGAGAATTTCTAAAACAGAAGCAAATTGTCTAGAAGTTCAGTTAACTTTGTAGTAGTTCAGCAAACTTCATTAAACTGCAGCGATCTTTGAAGAAGTTCAGCAAATTTTGAAGGAGACAAGTTTGAAGAACTTTGTTTTTTTTTATTACTTTATTAAAGAGATTTTTAGCCTTCGGCTGGTTCATCTCTGGAACGAAGAACTTTGTAGAAATTTGCTATAAATTCGATTAGCTCAGGAATATTTTTATATCTTCAGGGAATTCGTAGACGTGCAGGGAACTTATTACTAAGGGGCCTTCCTTAGCTCAGTCGGTAAAGGCGCAGCTACAAAGCAAGACCATGCTGGAGGTGGCTGGGTTTCGATTCCCGGTCCGGTCTAGGAATTTTTCGGGTTGGAAAATTTCTCGACTTCCCTGGACATAGAGTATGATTGTACTTGCCACACAATTATACTAATGCAAAAATGGTACAGGCATCGAAAGCTCTCAATTAATAACTGTGGAAGTGCATCTAGAACACTAAGTTGAGAGCATGCAATAAGCTAATATGCCATACGCAATAAGCTTGAAATGCGAAGAAGAAGAAAGAAGCAGGGAACTTATTAGGAACATAGGAAATCATGAAATTTAGGAAGCTTTAAAAAATAAGCGAGCTTAGCAAAAATTTGTAGAAGCCGGAACTTTTTACATGTTTGGGGAACTACATTGAACTTTTTATAATTTCAGGGAACTTCATAAAAGCTTGAGAATTCTAGTGAGAACTTACATTTAACTTTGTGAAGCGAGTGAAGCTTGCAATACTGATGTCGATCAACGGTCTTTTTTTTTGTTTACACCTCCGATGACTTCACCAGGGTTGTGTGTGAAAGATTCCTCTAGTTTCGATACCAATACTTCCCACGCAACAGAGTAAGTTTGTCGACTATGCTCGATACACGGTAACCCTCAGAGTCCGACGACTGGCACAACTGCGGCTCGCCGGCACATGCTAGGTACACTGAGAAAAAAGTCGGCACAAAATAAGTGTGTAGAGTGACCACCCCTTGTTTTTTCATCAGTTTCAATCAATCAAGCGGATATATTTAAATATTTAAAAACCAGGTGTCAATGGCGGCCTGGTTTCAACGAGGATTACTCATATATTAACGTAAGCAAATGTGATGTCACGGTTGAGATTAGTCCCCCTCCCCCATGTATTACAAATTGTCATGGGCCTCCAAACCCCCCCCCCCCCCCCCACTTAATTCGTGACGTATGGAAGGCCCTAGGTTCATTTTAAAGTCATATCCAGCGGATCAAAGTTTTCAATTAAGTCCTCTGGATATTTTTCAACACATCACGTTGATCATGATGATGTTCGGAAGATCGCCAACTGATCAAAAATTCTAGCAAAAATTCAAAAGTCGTCCTGTAGATATTTTTTCAAGATTACTTGTTGATCAGGATCTATTCAAACGATCTCAAGCTTATCGAACGACTGGAACTTAATCCTGTGGATATTCAGGGTGGTCACATTTATCATATTCAGCATTTTCTGAAAGGAGAAATCTCGCGTCACTTTTCAAATAGACCAATCAACATTGATCGATTCTCTTCATCGTCTCTCTCTTTCCTTAATAGCTTGGCTGCATTCATATTTCGAGCTAATTTATATACATAGTCTGTTAAAAGAAAGTATTATTAAGAGTATTTAACGATAAGAATAGCTGAACATGTTTTTGGAGCTGAGTTATTAACGAAAGAGAGAGAATCGATCAGTGTAGATTTTGATCTATTTGAAGTGACATCTTATCATGAGACTGTCATATTTTTTGCAGTTTCAGTATGTCTACAGGCAAAACATGAAATGTCTTCAAAGGACAGACATTGTGAATCACCTGTGCTAGTGCTACCATGGGAAGAAAATGTTGGAGCGAAGTTGTTAGCAATCGAAGCAAGCCTTGACATTTATACTTAGGCTCTGAACCATTTGGTGGATTATTTTAACTTTTGGTTAAAATTTGACAGATGGAAAGTTATTGATTAACCCTGCTATCCGAGCGTGGTTATTTCTGGCAGACAAGAAGTTAAATGTTGACAACCGTGGCTGAGTTCTTTTCGAAAACCTGTTGATCGACAGCACAGGGATTTTCGAACATCAAGAATAACTTTCGAAATGTCACTTTTAACCACGAGTTAAATTTAACTCGGCAAATGGTTCACAGCCTTAGGCTCTGAACCATTTGGTGGATTATTTTAACTTTTGGTTAAAATTTGACAGATGAAAAGTTATCGATTAACCCTGCTATCCGAGCATGGTTATTTCTGACAGACAAGAAGTTAAATTTTGACAACCGTGGCTCGAAAACCGGTCGATCGACAGCACGGGGATTTTCGAACATAGAAAATAACTTTCGAAATGTCACTTTTAACCACGAGTTAAATTTAACTTGGCAAATGGTTCACAGCCTTAGGCTGTGAACCATTTGCCGAGTTAAATTTAACTCGTGGTTAAAAGTGACATTTCGAAAGTTATTTTCTATGTTCGAAAATCCCTGTGCTGTCGATCGACCGGTTTTCGAGAAGAACTTAGCCAAGGTTGTCAAAATTTAACTTCTTGTCTGTCAGAAGTAACCACGCTCGGATAGCAGGGTTAATCGATAACTTTCCATCTGTCAAATTTTAACCAAAAGTTAAAATAATCCACCAAATGGTTCAGAGCCTTAATTGTTAACGTCTTAAATAAAATTAGTTCTTCTCTAACCACTACCAAACACAGACGTATTTAGCTACTCTCTACATGTTATGGGCCTGTAGTGAAAGAAGATAGAAAAATGAGTACAAGTTCGAATTCCAACGGAGTTTCTCAAGGCGGTTCCTCAAGTATTCCTCCCATCGAGAGGTTGACTGGACGGGACAACTGGTCCTCATGGAAGTTCGCAGCGAAAACTTTTCATCAGCTCCTCAGAAGGACTCTGGATGCAGTGAACCCGAAGCAGAAACCAGACGGAACATTCGAACCGGTGGATGTGCAGAAGGATCTGCGATCGCTGTTGAAACTGATCCTGCTTCTCGATCCGCTAATCTATGTGCACATTGAGGACGCGGAATCGGCCGAAGCTGCATGAACCAAGTTGGAAACGGCATTCGAGGACAAAGGACTTTCTCGGCAGATCGCTTTGCTCCACCAGCTCATCAAGTCGGATCTGGATTCGTGTGGATCAATGGAAGAATACGTGAACCATGTAATTTCGACAGCGCACCAGCTGAACTGCATCGGATTCAAGCCTGGCCTCCCGGACGATTACCGACCCATGATTATGGCCTTGGAAAACTCTGGAGTTGCCATAACCGGTGATTTTGTCAAGACCAAACTTCTTCAAGAGCAACCGTTGCTAGGCAGCAAGAAAAACAACCAGGCCTTCGCAACCCACAAACGGCATGAAAAAACCTCGAAGCAAATAAAGTAGCCTACTTCATCCAAGGGCCCGAAATGCAGAAAATGTGCTCGGTACGGACACATCGCCAGGGACTGCAAGGGTTCAAGGAAAGGTGAAACATTTTGCACGGTTATTTCTAGGTTTGGCAAGAAGGATGCGAACGACTGGATTTTCGATTCTGCGGCGTATGCACATATTTATTTATTTATTTATTTTGTTTTTCTTCATCGGACTTAACGTGTCTAAATGAAGCCTGATGGGGAAAAGCCTAGAAAAGGCGTAAAAACCCCATATCTTTTCGAAATACATATGAATCACAATAATACAATAAAATTACAACGAACATTAATCAAGTCTATAGCATAAAAAAAGTTATCCTCCTATGGCATAGATTTGTTGTCCGTGAATCAGGTAGAAGTCCTCGTCATGCAGTTGAACCGGAAACAAAAAATAAACAGGTAGCACAATCCTTTACGTGTATATTAAATGGACAGCTACTCACCTTCTCAGAAGTCTGCGTTGAATACGGTGACGAAAGGTTTCCGCTGCACAGTTGAAGTCGAAAAACTCGTTGAAACGCCCAGACATGAACCGTATTGGGTCATGCAAGCTGTAATTCGCAGCACGAGGTCCAAGATGCAGGAAACTCCTCGACCGAAGAACTCGTTCGGGTGCGTAGATTTTGAATTCAGCCAAGATTCCTGGAGGGTCGATATCACCAATAAGTACTTTCGCTGCGAACACGGCCTGACTAATCGTCCGCCTATGTTCTAGTGTTTCAAGACCCAGGAATTGGCAACGGTCTTCGTACGGCAGAAGGTTCACAGGGTCATTCCAAGGAAGGTGACGAAAGGCATACCGAACAAATTTCCTTTGAACAGATTCAATCCTCGCTATCCGAACTGCTTGATACGGGCACCATACTACCGAGCTGAATTCCAAGATCGATCGCACTAGAGAGCAGTACATATACAGCTTTTAGACAGGCAGGATCGCGAAACTCGTCAGCGATCTTGAAAATGAACCCGAGTTGCCTGTTAGCTTTCGCAACGATGCCCGAGTAATGAAGCTTGAATGTTAAGGCGCCGTCCAGCGTGATTCCTAGGTCACGAACATTGTCCACACGTTGCAGAAGTTGGTGATTTATCGTATAGTTGAATGCCACTGGTTTCAGCTTGCGATGAAATGAGATAATATTACATTTTTGAACATTCAACGTGAGATAGTTTCTTGAGCACCACTCTTCGAAAGTATCGATTAGGTGCTGAAGCCGTAAGCAATCGGTGAAGCTATGAACAATCACATAGATCTTCACATCATCCGCGTAGAACGATCGGCAACCAGTTGGGAGGATCGAGCAATCGAGAGCTCCTCACAAATCTGGATTGCAATACAGCATTGGTTGTCGCAGCGGATTTCCATTTCTCCTTCTTCATTGAATAGCGCAGAAAGTCCTCGTCACCTGAACGCTTCCTGTACCGCAGCCGAAACGGACATATATTCCGCCTCACACGTCGATAGCGCCACCGTAGGTTGCTTCTTGCATGACCACGAAATAGCGCGGTCTGGAGCCATGAAAACGTTGCCGCTGGTTGACTTACGTTCGTCCGGATCGGATCCCCAATCCGCGTCGCAGTAGCCGACTATGCTTGAATCGGCATGCTTGTTGTAGACCAACTTCAAGTTTGAGGTACCACGTAAGTAACGCAGAACATGCTTCATCGCATTCCAGTGCTTGATACCTGGATTATTGTTGAACCGGCTGAGGGTATTCACGGCGAACAGTATGTCCGGTTGAGTGCTTTACGCCAAATACATAAGACACCCGACAGCTTCCTGATACGGAACATCCTTCATAGCAGCAGATTCCTCGTCAACCTTGGAATGTTTCTCGCTAGTGTTCATCGGTGCCTTCACTGGTTTGCACCGATCCATGTTGAACCGCTTCAAAATCGTTTCGATGTAGGCTTCTTGATCCAACGTTATCCTGCCGATCCGGATCCCAAGACAATGTTTCGCAGGTCCCAGATCTTTCATCAGGGACGCTTTGAATCGTGGTGTGGTGAAACTGGCTTACGTTGGCACGGAGGAGCAGATCGCTGACGGATTAACCAAACCATTGCAGAGGACGAAGTTTGAAGAGAGCCGTACGATGATGGGAATCTCTGCGGCTTGAGGAGGAGTGTTTAAGCTAAGCTGTTAGCAATCGAAGCAAGCCTTGTTGACATTTATACTAAATTTTAAACGTCTTAAATAAAATTAGTTCTTCTCTAACCACTACCAAAGACAGACGTCTTTAGCTACTCTCTACAGAAAAGAGTTAGAGACGTGCTGCCAAAATCGGCACACATTCTAGTAAAAACAAGCCGTTTTGGATGTTTCTGAAAGAGCATTTTAAAAGCACATTTAGGGGTATTCGCGTAGCGCATCGTAAGCATATGCACCATTGTAACTAGGGTTTATTGAACTGCAGTGGAAGTTTACGTATACTTGGTATACTTACGATGGTTTCTTCTACGTGAATACCCTTATTATGAAGGTTTATTTTATTTTTATTGCATTCATAAGTCAGAACATAAAATTCAAATCAAGAAACGTAATTCAAGGCAAATAAATGTCCAAGGTAATGCAAAACATGCGACATCTCAGGCACCTCAAATGGATTTCTTCATCTGCAGCACTTCGACGGCCTCCTTGCAGGCCTGAACAAACTTTTGATGGTCGCCGGTGTGAATGCTGGCGGCAATGTTTCGGGATTGGTCGAAGTAATCGGTGGCCATCATCGGCGGGACCGACTTACGTGCCGATGCGATGCGGAACGATTCTTTGGGCCTTACCCGGCCATCCGAAAGGCAAGCGCCATTTCTGGCCCAGTTGAACTGAGACCAGTACGCGAAGAAGCTTCTCAACAGTGTGAGAAGGTTTGTTGGTCTTTGGAACGATGTGATTGATTCGGCAAACGCGGTGTTATATGTATTGTTGTCCAATAAAACTGGGCCAACCAGCAGGGAAACGATCGGTGGAATGTACTTTTCCTGCTGCATGTGGAATAGTATCATCATAATTAGGACATGATGATGAAAGCTGCGCGAAAGATTCGTTTGCTGTTTCCATTCCTTGAGCAGAAAGAACAGTTTACGTGCCATTGGTTGAAGACGGAAGAAGTACTGGATCAGTTCGCTGTTGGCGACGATGTAAGGGCTGGCAAAGGTGAGGTCCAATGTTATATCCAATGGTGGTAGAACGTGGATGGTAAGCACCATGGGTCCTGCGGGAATTTCGCGGATAACTTCGACTTCGCTGGTGTCCGTTTTAGCCCATTCAACGGCCTTCAAGTACGCCTTGGTCGCTTTCATGTTGGATTTCCATTTGATACGTAGATCGAGATCGGACTGGTCATTACCGACACCGGTAACGCGTGAACCGAAGGGTTCGACAATAATGTCTGTCAATAGTGGATCAAGCTTTCCCTTGAGATAGCGCCGAATAGTTTCCACTGGGGTGTTGAGTTGAATTGCCGCTCCCTTAAAGCAAAGTTTATCGAGTTCAGATTCCCGTACCTCCAACAGGTACATGGCCGCTTTCGACCATTGAGTATTGTTGTTGATCTCCAGCGGTTCCTGGCGGGGTTGAGTAATCGTTGGAACAATGTGGTCCGGCAGTACGTTACGCATGTTAGCCGCATGCACCTTGGTACCCAAGTGGCGGATCTGATTGACCACCAACGTGGTTTGATGGATCTTGAACCAAGCAATAGCATCGTCGAAACGGCATTTTTTGATTCCCGCGTCGCAGCACGTTGTACAGGTATAGTCAAAAACGTACTTCCATTTGGCGAACGTACCTTGGGCGAAGGTGTCCCCCGCTGAGGCGTCCTCACGAACTGGCTTATTCCGGATACAGCTCAGATAGTCGGCTGCTTTACGCAGCAGTTGGGCCGTGAACTGCTCCATCATTTCATAGTTGTTATCGTACCGAACCAGAATGCTCGCCCCAATCTGTACGTACAGATTGAACAGGATGGCCTGTGGAAAACCATTCAAAGTTGATTTCAACACGAAAATTCATGAAACCTATATTGCGATTGCTCACCAAGCGCTTCGTATCTTCGTCAAGTTCATCCCGTCCGCCGTGGCGCAAAATGTGCATAATCAGCGTGTCGGTGTTCCACAGGGTTTTCTGCTTACACAGCGGGAAGCATGCACAGCAGAAAAACGAGAAGCACATTCGTTATAACATAAACAAGACGGCAGTTAAGGAGCATACATTAATACGTCACGCTCTAAAAAGGGAGCCATGCATTGGGTATAGGAAAAACGTGGCGAATGGGGGGCGGGGGCGGTTTGATTTTCCATCAATTTCTCGTGACGTACTTAATGCATGCTCCCTTTCGATGCAGGATGCATTCGGAGTTTTCTTTAAATTCCTTACCTGACAGCACTGGACCGGATCGAAAAAGTGCAAAATCTCCCGGCAGAAGGCCACATCGTCGAAAACCAAGGATCTTGGGCTGGCGAAGTGTTGCTTCGAACAGGTGGCGTTGATCGCACGCAACAGGTTGTCCACTTCGGAAACAACGCCCGCGTAGATCCAGTTGAACCGTCGCAGGTAATCTTCCGCTATCTCGTTGAACCGGTGCGCAAACAGCTGCAGATGCAAGTGAGCCATTTCTTCAAGATAATGGTTTCTGATAAACTGCACAAAATAACAGCAACAGTCACGTAAGTATAAAAATCAAAGCGCGCACCGCAAATTTCAGTTCAGGCGTCCTTCCAGCCGAACAATCGACGACTCTCTGACGCCCTCCTCGTAAGCCGAATCAATCCGAAGTGAACGAGTAACGACTAGGTAACGAGTTGACGAAAGCTTCGATATCGACGCTCTCTCGACGTCGTTCGAACGACGCTGCTTTTGAAATTTGAATTAGCAGCCTCGCCGTCGTCGTCAGGAAGGATAGATGCTCTTGCAAGAAAGTAGTTTAAAATTTTATTGCAAGCACATGTGGACAAACAAAAGCGTGTACCCGAAATGTACTGATGAATGTATCCTTTTCTTATAGCTCTGTTGTTTCTGTATCGGTTGGAACTTTCTTGATAATAAATATTTGAAGCAATCTACATAGGCATAGCCAGACAGGCGAGGGGGGGGGGGGGGCGGCAATGCTCTTTCTACCTCAGTATCATAATATTAATTTAATTTAATTTGGTACTACCAGATTCTTGACATATCAAGAGCAAATTTTCATTATGTCGAAAGTAACCTTCGCACCCGATCAGAGAAAAATAAAGTTTTGTGTTGATGACCGAAAAGTTATTCCTATTTCCAATTAAACACATATAATCTCATAGTGATAGCAATGTTTAATATATTAAGCAGGGTTTTAATCATACAAAGCAGATCGCTAGCTTTCATGCTAAAAAATACTGGTTTTGAGTCAAAAGTTATTATACGTCGTTTGGTGGCCCCCTAATGTTACTTAAGTCAAAGTGTATTTACCAGGATATTCGGGAGAATTATCAATCACGTATCCTTACGTGCAGCTTAAAATTCATTATTTTAGGACCACCGAAATCATCTTAGCAACAAACAGTTCGATTTATTCACTTTTATAATGAGAAAGCGAAACGACGAACGTACACTACAAGGGTTTCTTTGCGCTGTTACTTAAGACAAACGGCATCTTCATAGAAATTGGGTGACTTAACCCTCCGTTACTCACGCTGTTGTACTTTGTACAACACACATGAGTTTTCCATTGCCATTTTGTTGCTGAGTTACCAATCGATCTGAAACCAACGAGTATTCCTCAAAAAACTTGTTTTGATCGAAACAAGCTAAACTTTGATTACAGTAAACACCTGAAAATGCGGATAATAGGGAAAATGTAAATGGAAACCGCGTAAATTGTAACCATACTACGTGAGATTTGACTTCATTGATTACAACATGGAATAAATCGAGATCCTGACCAGATAGAGAGTTACTGTCTCCGAAAAAATTGTTCAGGAGCTCATAGTCTTGTCGCTCAGTAGTTCAGAATTTTCTCACTACGTAGCGCTAGTATACATGTGAAATTTTCGTCTGTGATATTTCTCGAGATCCTGACCAAATAGAAACTTACTGTCTTTCAAAAAGTTTTTCAGGAGGTCAAAGCCTATTGTTTGGTGCTCAATAGTTTAGAATTTGCTCACTACGCGAAGCTAGTATACACGTAAAATTCTTATATTAAAAATCTCGAGTTCTGAACCAGATAGAAAAGTACTGTCTTTGGCATAGTTGTTCAGGAGATGAAGGCTTTTTCGCAGGTGAACAGTAGTTCAGAGTTTTCTCACTTTGCGGCGCTAGTATACGTGCCATTCTCGCATATAAAATAGCTCGAAATCCTGATCAGATAGAAAGTTACTGTCTTCGGCAAAGTTGATTAGGAGGTCAAAGTCTTTTGGCTGACGAACAGTAGTTCAGAATTTCCTCACTGCGCTGCGTTAGTATACACGTGCAATCCTCATATATGCTACAGCTCGAGATCCCAAACAGCTAGAAAATTACTGTCTTCGGCAAAGTTGTTTAGGAGATCAAAGCTGTTTTGCTGGTGAACAGTAAATAGTTCAGAATATTTTCCGGTATGTGGCGCTAGTGTGCATGTAAAATATTTGTACATGCTATAGCTTAAGGTCAGGAAGTAACTGTCATCGCCAAAGTTGTACATGCGGCAAAGTTCTTCCGGATGGTGAACATGCAAATGTGTTTTGTTCAAAGCTCTCTCATTTTACGTCCATTTTTTGATCTCCTTAGGTTATTTGAATGGTATGAATGGTATAGCATATGGGTTCTACTACTACTACTTTTAATTTCCATTTTTTTTTTCAAGTCAATTCTGAGAAAATCAATCATGATTCTTCAGAGTAAATTTAAAAAAAATGTGTAACTTTGGGTGAACCTTTGGTATACAAAATTTGAAAATGATATTGAGCAATTTGCCTATTCGTATTTCCATTCAAAATCTTTCAAATGTTCCAAAAAGAACGAAAACGTTTAGGGAGTGTCCTTAAACTTATAATCGGGAGTGTACGGTTTTATAAATGTCTCCATTCAACTGAGCAAAAGTGCCTCACTCTCTGAGTTAGTCTCGTTTTCCGTGTTTTTTTTTGTTCTAGAGATTGGTGTGCCGAGTAACCTTGTGAACCCCTTGCAATGCCTACACATTCCAAGTTCGTCTTGGCAGTCGCGACTGTGTGAGTTACAAACAAAGCAGGCAACATGAAACGGAAACAATTGGGCTCACTCACCAACACACTCACATAAGCAAGCAAAGCAGCAACTGCTTCAAAACGAGCACAGATGAGTGTCGTGATTGTCGGGAATCAAGACGGTTTTATGACAGGTGGGCAGGAACTCACAGTCTCCCAGTGTTGGTGAGTTCTTTGCCGTTAATTTTCACGAAAAGTTCACTATTTTGCTATACAGAAATTCAAAACAAAAATTTTTATCTGCGGATTTGAACAGTTTATGACCTGTTTCATACTACCGGAAGGTGTATGCTGGTCACAAATGCCGTGCCAAACTGATTCCCTACTCAATTAATCAATCTTTGATGTGAAATTCGCTAATAAACACGAGGCGCATTTCTTATAGCAAACATGCCATAACAAAATGGGCATGGTTCATTTAAGTAAACAAACTAACACTTCTTCCGACTGTGGCACCTATGTATTAGCCGTCTCGGTCGGGAATGACCAGATCGGTGATGGATCACAACAGAAGGCGACATTCACCAGTTGCTTTTTACTTCTTTCGTCAACTTGATGGATGGTCATGGAGAGAGCTTCGACGAGCACATTGATAGGAATGTACAAAGCGTTACTACCATCAGCTGTTTGGCAATCGTGATTGTGATAGGTCGCAACTCTGGCGAGAATTGCCCGAACAACTGTCCACCAACGAAAAGATTTTGACTTCCTGAACAACTTTGCCAAAGACATTTACTCTCTATCTGGTCAGGATCTAGTGATGTACCACATGCGATAACTTAACATGTATACGAGCACTACCTAGTGAGAAGATTCTGAACTACTGTTCACCAGCAAAAAGGCTATGATCTCCTGAACAGCTTTGCCTAAGACAGTAACTTTCTATCTGAGATTTTTTTTTCCTTTGGTTTGGAAGACAGCTCCCACACCTGGACCCTACCTATCGACCCATCAACTCATGAACCGGGGACCAAAAAGGCGCTGACTGGGATTGAACCCAGGCCTGCTGGGGTGAGAGGTAATCGCGCTTACCGCTACACCACCGGCGCCGCTTGCGGATCTCGAGATATTTTATATGAGAATTTCACGTGTGTTCTAGCGCCACGTAGTGAGAAAAGTCGGAACTACTGTCCACCAGCCAAAAATACTTGACCCCCTGAACAAGTTTGCCGAAGACAGTAACTTTCTATCTGGTCAGGTTCTCGAGCTATTGTATATGCGAAAATTGCTGGTATATACTATACTACTTATGTACGCGGAGACTTGAAGTATGTCTTGTTGAGCATGAGCCTGTAGACTTGAAGACATACTTCAAGTCTCCGCGTACATCGTACGGGTTAGGCAAAAGATGTGCGTTTGACTTCAAAAAACTGTCGCATTAATGGCCCTTCGCTCATCATTCAATTTTCATACTGCCGTACTCTAACGGAACTATCCACCTACCCTCTTCTGAAGATCATTCTCTAGCTAATAAATTATCACACTAAAGCTTCATGTTAGCATTTCCAACTAAAGGGTGATACGGTCAAAATTTGGTCAAGGGAAAACGCGTGTAAATCGGTGAAATCGTTTATTTAAAAAATCAAATTAAATTTCTTTTTCAAGTTCAATTAGTATAAAATTCAGGAAAAATATTCAGTTAGGCTTCCGCTTTTCCAAATCCAAATTGCCGGGCCTTACGCTTGACCCCTGCCATCAGATTTTGTACAGCCACCTTGTCCACCTTCTTCGCCGCAGAAAGCCAGTTTGCCTTGAACTGCTGCTCGCCCTTAGCAGTTTTTTTGGTCTTCTTTAGGTTCCGCTTGACAATAGCCCAGTATTTCTCAATTGGGCGGAGCTCTGGCGTGTTGGGAGGGTTCTTGTCCTTGGGAACCACCTGCACGTTGTTGGCGGCGTACCACTCCATGGCATTTTTACCGTAATGGCAAGATGCCAAATCCGGCCAAAACAGTACGGAACAACCGTGTTTCTTCAGGAAAGGCAGCAGACGTTTATTCAAACACTCTTTCACGTAAATTTCTTGGTTGACAGTCCCGGAAGCTATGAAAATGCTGCTTTTCAAGCCACAGGTACAGATGGCTTGCCAAACCAGATATTTCTTTGCGAACTTTGACAGTTTCATGTGCTTGAAAACATCTGCTACCTTTCCCCTTCCTTTTGCCGAGTCACTACCTTCTTGTAAGTCGATAGTCCGGCTCGTTTTTTGGCTCGATGCACGGTTGTAGACGATACACCCAGCTTATTTGCGGCATCTCGGAGAGAGAGGTTAGGGTTTCGCTTGAAACTACCGGCAACTCTCTTTGTCGTCTCAGCGGCTTCCGGTTTTCGATTTCCCCCCGATCCAGACTTCCTGGCTGTCGACAAACGTTCCCCAAACACTTTAATTACATTTGTAACGGTTGATTTGGCAACTTTTAGCGATTTTGCCAACTTTGCGTGCGAGTAGCTCGGATTTTCGCGATGCGCGAGCAAAATTTTGATACGCTGCTCTTCTTGCTTGGACGGCATTTTGACAACTGAAG